AGAGTATTATTTTAAACATATTTTCGTCTGCTAAAAATTAAAAATAATATTGGCCAAATAATAATTATTGCCACGTGATCATGACGTATTAATTGGTAATGAATGATAATATGATATTACGTGGTTTTTGTCATACAGATGGATACTCCTATATATAGTCCTATACAACTATATCATTATAATTAAACACAAAATCTATTATAACATATAATAAAATATTACAACAATAGTCATAAAAGATCATCGTGTAGACGTGGCTGTGGTGGAAGGTTAAACATTTTCCTAAGAAAATGTACGTAACATATTTATAGATCGACTTTGTTTTGCAAAAACAGCACTAATTACCAGTAATTAGTGTGCGTAGGGGTTTGTAAAAAGTTAGMATTACCAAAATTCTTGAAGAATTTCCCCAAGAAAAGCATTAAAAAATTGAATAACAATAACAATGTAGTTAGCTGTCTATTCAAAATTTAAAATATTAAATTCCGTGGTACGTTTAATAATAATATACCTACATTATACTACCTACTTATACAACTAGAAAAAAACGTCACGAGCCATACAATATTGTGTATGGCTAATGGTAATTTTTGTTGTAGTTTCTTGTGCGTTAAAATTKTCCGTAGGTACCTAGAATAATATTTTACTCTCGCGATGATCGTGTGTTTGCGTTCAAYACGCACGTGTGCGCTGGGCCAGATTTAGCATAATTATATACAAGCGTTTCATAAAAAATAAGAACGAACAAACAAAATTCCACAGACTWATAGAAATAATAATAATAATATAGATAATTTAACATATATTACAATTTTATAATATTAATACATATATTATTATGAGTGTTGRCATTTTCCCATTAAAAACAATAACATTTTTTATCAACGCATTAATWACATMAACACATTGTTTCATATTTTGAATGAAAGTGTTTATAATTATTATCATCGGTAATATAATTAGTTTAAAAAACTTACACGAAATTAATATGTCAGTTAGAAAAAAAAAGTGTTATAATAATTGTATCTACTACTTGTATAAATAAAATATATATTATACCTCGTAGTCATAATAAATTATCATATTTTAAATTACTTTAAATATTAGGTTCAAATGAAATTAATTGATTAAGAAATGCTTAACTTTCACTTATAAGACGAAACCGTCACATAAAACTTTAACACTAATCATATTTGTTTTATATCGTTGCAAGGAAAATACTGAAATTTGGATCTCTCGTGAGCATAACACAAAATTCGATATTTTAAATATTCAAAATAGTTTCATTATTTCTAGTAACAACWTTTACTTTAATTAAAATTTGCGAACATGAATCATGAATTCAGCTGCGATACGAGGACAATGCGACAACAATGACCTAGGTAATGACCGTAAAACGTGCGTTATCGTTTGTGTGTGATTGAGTTCGATGAAAAGTATAATATACGTGTTGATTTTTGGGAGCCGGAGAAGTAGGACATTCAAAAATACAAACGCATAATGCCTCAACAATTTGAACTCATGAAAATTAGAAGTGGTTATCTGTTGTTTATGTGCTGTGTGCACGTCGCATGTTACGTATAAATAATAGATTTGTATATCGTATAATATATTGTATTCGTACATCGTAAATTTATCGATGCGACATGGACTTTTAATTTTTGATTTTATCCACCGAAATCGTWCGAAAAACTATTACAGCGATTTTCTGAAGACGTACAAATTATAAAACATTACATCTAGTTTTTGTTAACCTTAAGTTGAAAAATGAAAAACACGAACAATTCAATCTCAAGAAGAGATTAATAAAGTAATTAATTTACTTACTGCGAATAAATATCCTGTATTCTGAATCTTTGAAACTTCAGTRCTAGAAATGTATACGTTGTAAATAGAAAATGACTAAATTTTTTTTCACCGTGTTAAAACTGATTTATATAAGAGTAAAGTCTTACTGTAAGACTATAAGGCAGCAATTCCCTCAACAGTTTAGAGGTTTTACAACATACACATTTTAATGTATTTTTGGTGGTWGGTAGTTAGAAAGGCGAGGGTAGGTATAGTTGCTCGTTTTCATAATATTTAGGACATATAGGTACAATATTATACAATAAATAATATAATCTCTGTCAATCGTAGACCAAATTCTGTGACCATTGTTCGTCTGTCGTCAAGAAGATATTTTTATTGTACCTGTCATTTCGCATAATATAATATTATTCCATTCGCGATGTTCACATTTCGATCGCGTTCAACGGACGTGGTAAAACTGCCAAAAACACACCATGTGTCAAAACATAAAATTTATAAGTAGGTACCTGCGTTTTTGTAAGAAAATCAGAAGAAAACAGAACAGAAAACCGTCTTCCACAAATATCTCGACGAAGAACTCGGTTTTGTGTTGACATCGTAACATCACTCTCAAACCACGTAAAAATATAGTCATTCCATGCATAATATATAAACGCATATGAAGTTGTTCTAAGCACTCATTACCACGACCGACCAATGAATAYGCGGTATATGGTATTTCAGACCTGACTGTAGAATAAGCCGCGGAAACTATACACGACGATATATAATTCCACACGATCACGTTTGGTTTTTTTTTTGTATGTAACATCGAATTTTAAAATCCAATAATTATATGACGTATAATAAATTCCAAGTACGACGATATATTATTATAGTTTTGCTAATATTWTAATATATACAATATACTTCAATAGTATGTAATATGTATTATACGTCTTTGGTCCTCTCTCCTGATGGACTCGCCGAATAAACTCGTTATACCCGATTTACACTGCTGCAGATCTCGCGTAGGCGTCTCACACGAAACGCGTTTAATGATTTGACCTTCCACAGCTACAATAATACGAGTGCTGTAAAAAATAAATGGGTACGGCGTCGTCAACGACAGAAGATCGCTGAAAGTGGGCGCCGTTAGTCTTCGTATACGCATATACACTGCACAATGTTCGTATGTATTATATCATATTAATATAATATATTTTTTACACCGTCCGGCCGCCCATCGCCGACTCAGGAAATGCTTTTGGTTCGTCGTGGCAGTGTTTGACACGTGCCTCCCAGTCCCACACCGGTGGTTCACAACGATGATGACGCGGGCGCTTCTCGAGAACTTCAAACAATAAAATGTAATATATATATATATATAATATATATACATATACGAGAAATATTATAACAGAAATAACATATTTAATATATAGTACGATGACGCCTCCACCGCCCACGGATTTTGGCTATATTTAAACTGGCCCGAAAATGTGGATATTATAATATTATCAACGACCTTGTATACAAACGCATCGAAATCGGCGAATGCGCTCGACTAAATAAAAAAGCTGCGAGCATACGCGAAGACGACCACGTGGGACAAGTCTTCGGTGCGGTATACAATAGTCGTTGTTATTATACGTCGTTGTATAGTTCATTGTCCACGACCATCCGTTTCCGCGTGTTGCGATTTTACAACGTTTTAGATTGCGCGATTTGTTCCGGCATACGATGTGCCTTTTTAATCGGACGCAAAATATGACAAATTTATCGTAATAATGAAACAAAAATAAATATTTTTTTAATGTACCATAATACTATTGATCATTATGAGATTAATCGTAAGTATCTACGTACACACAGAGGCGTATGCCTAATTTTTGTTTTGAGGGTGTTACGGATGTCTGGACTACCTTAATCTGTTCAGAGTTAACTGATAGACCATGMTATTTATATTAATTGTACCATTAATTAACATATTAATACATATAATCATAGGCGCAATTTGGGTTAGATTTATGGGGGTGTTAGATTTAAGTTGACCAAAGTGATAAATTTATCTCCTAATGCCCATGACATAAATTCATAAGTTATATAAGTTTATAACCAATAAAAATATGGGGGTGCTATGCACCTCCAAGCACACCCCAAATTGCACCTATGCATATAATATGTATAAAAAATGAAAGAATACAATAATATAGTCACAATATTCTATGTGTGTTATTTAGAATGATGTTTGTGACGTCGAAAACTCGTTAATACAATAAATAAATTCGATTTGATTTTGTGATTTATAAAAATTGCATTTCCTCCAACAAACAATGCTATAAAAATATATTCTAACCTAAGTTCTGTATAATATATTAATGACTAATGGCACAATAATATTTTAATAGTAATGTCATATTTTTTTATTAGACAGAAATGATGACTTATTACAGTATCGATTTTATTGTTTATTTATGATTTCTAAATAATTTTTTGATTATAATAAAATACAAACATATAGTTATACTTTGCATAATGGGTTGGGGCAATAGCAMCTATAATGCCTAATGGATTTTATTATTTTAATACCTTTGTAATATATGTAATGTATGTTATAATAAAATGTGTTATATAACACGGTGACGCCACGGGACTTAGCTTTTTGTCCGACCACATACGCAGACAACCGTTTTGCAAAATAAACACGCGATGACGCTTATCGTTACGACCTATGTCTTATACCCATAAGGGTATATTAATATCGTGCGTTCGTGCTTGGTATTATTTTATCCGTTTACACGGATTGTATAATACTATTATTATGTGTATACCAATGTCCTTGAACTAATGTTACTCGTTAAGTAGGTACCTGACTGATATAGTTATATATATCTAAAATATATTTTTATTGTTTATATTAAATAACAYAGTACACTCGTGTAAAATTACCGTAATATACCACCGACACCAGCACACACATTTATATAATATATACCGCGGTACAGAATCGATCGAAAAGCACATATTGACAGCATGTTCTCTCCAAAATCGATTTTTTTTCTAYGTACAATCATATTATATTTACTTAAAACTGTAGGACTTATACTCTTCGAAGCTAYGCGTTTTGCATTATTATATCATTATGTTTTAGCTCTTACTCRTCTCACGTGAATTGATTGTTTGATTTGTTTTTCGTGGTTCTACAGATGGCGGGGTTCCTTCAGGATGCTGATGGTTCAGACTTACACGACATGAGTTCGGTCATCGAGGGTTTTCAAAAGAAGAACAGCGTCGGGTCTATGGGATCGGCGACGRCGATGGCCACGACCGCCGGCAACCATATGGTGAGTTGCACAACCGATAAATGTGTATTWTATTATATTGTGTGCGTGGGCGTAGTGATTTCAGTCTCTCTATTTCGTTCCATTGTCTGCAAAATATTATAAACAACTCTATGAGAGCTGATTATCAACAGGAACTGTACCTCTTATTTACACAACAACAATAATGTGTCTTATTTATTATTTAGCTCTTCATATAGTTCGTTTGTATAGTTTTTTATTAGCTGAACCACTAGTATAATATAGAGAAAACGAAAATCGTTCTATAATGTTAGGCAGCACTCGAAATGTCTACGAAGTATTAAAATTATTTAAGTACTTCCTTTGGTTATAGTAGTTAAAAGTACTTGCCGTTGATTATTTTTGCAGTATAATATTAATAATTAATTATTATAGCACATAAATGATGAGTCCTATCGGCGGTGATGAAGATCACTATATTACATGAAAATATTATTTCACATAAAATTGTATAATTAATGCTGCTGGAGTATAATATTACAGTAAACATATAGGTAGTACAATAATTCATGTAGGGAATAATATTTTGAACTCGTATCAAATAATATTTTGATTGTAATTACGTAGTATATTTCAGGAATACAATAATCCCCTTTGCAGGCATTAAAATATTGAGATAGATCGAAGAAATTTGAAATAAGATCTAAAGACTAAATCGATAATATTGCGTTAGTATAATATTGTGAAAAGGGTATGTCCGATTATGAAATACAATGTAATAGTACTGATGTGCCTACTGGCTACCATTACCCAAGTTACTTGATATACCAGCTACAACCAATACCCACCGGATCGCAAATCTATCTACATGCGACGACTAGACACAAGGATTTCTCATAATCTGATGTCCTCATAAGAACTCAATTTTAATTTTAATTCTTTCCCAATTATTGAATTGTGACACTTCAGTGAATGTATATAGGTACTGGTATGCACTATGTAATATCACAAGACAAAATACAAAACACAGCATATTAAATATCTTATGTGCATACAATATTTTCTTATCGTGTGTGTGAAATAAAAATATTTATAAGTACGATTATTTTCCTTTCGTATATCACAATTAATTTTGATGGCATTTTATAACCGTACGATATCGCGCCACTGTCGAGGCCACGCGCTTTTGAACTCACACAATAATAATAATAATAGTAATATGATCCTGCAGCGAATCGAAGGTGACATAATATTAAATTATAATAATAATAACAGCGACAAAAGTAGTTTCTATAGAGAAACGCGTGTGTAAACTGACGTTACGAAATACAAAATAAATAATAACAATGATGGAGTAGGCCTACATATTATTATTATTTATATCAGGTATGTATATATTATTATTATCGTCCTCGTGGGCTGAAGTTTCAAACGGATACCCGCTGCACACGATTTGTTTTAATAAACCGAAATCGAAATTGATGGCAAACCGCATGATTCATCTTCTCACAACACTATAATATGTCCACATATATACCTTATAAATATTATAATATTCCTACTAATAATAACATGTGCAATGCACATAATATGATGTCTCTGGCTGCAAGTATTTACCATGATGGCATGACATTATGTAAATTTTCGCATTTCTCAAACGAGTGCCTGCGCCTATTGTTCGTCACGAGATTATAATATATATTTTTGTCTCAAAGTATCATCATTATGAACATCTGAACAAATTATACCTTCGTTTCTCTATAATGTACGTGATATTATATTTTATCAGCACACTCGTATATATAGGCAGTATGAAAAATAAATAAATAAAAAGCTCGATCATTTTTTTTATTTACGTAATTTATGTGAAATAATACAACCGGGAAATATAACCGGGAAGTATGTAATATTGTGTTTCGAAAGCCACGTTTAACATATTTTATTTTATCATATTAAAATAAATTATTACAAGTTAACAATTATCATTTCACTGAATATATGAACAAGTATAGGTATAGATAGGAACCCAATATTTAAATATAAAATAAATAATATCTATAATAATATGTTAATTTAAATTACTAACCTAGATGATGAAAAATAGCGTTTGACTAAACTTATTTTGAAAAATATTTTTTCTGTTTTTGCATTGCTGTTGACGCACATTATATTGAAGGTTGGGGTRATCAGAATTTACTGAATACAAATTCTTCAACTCTAATACAATTTATTTTTCATTTATTTATATCTGTTTTATACTTTTAAAACATTTGGTATCGTTTAAATCGAATATTTAATTTAGTTTGCCTGTCAGTCTACAATAATTTTTCCATTGCTTACCAAAATATGTTAAATTTGAGAAAAATTATACTTTCAAATTGGATATTTTATAAACCAACGGATAATATAACTATACTTAAAAGCGCATCATCAAAATATTCCATAAGACACATTTAAATGAATTTTTTTTTAAATACCTACTAATTTGAAAAACTGGATCATAGATTGAAATTTTTATTTTCTTAATATAACTAAGGAGTTATATTGTGTGTTTTTATAATGTTTGTATAATAGACTATAATCATGTTCGCAAATTCGAATAGGTTATAATATAGTTTAGATTCGCTTATACAGGACGTACATTTGCAATATGGACGTGATAGACTGGCGTTGATAAACTTATATTACATAGGACGTTATAAGAAATACATTACACAACAGTATTTAAAAAAAAAAAAACTTAAACCAATAAAAATAAAACAAACTGTTAAAATAAAAAACGAAAATGTTTGATTTGATTTGTTTTCAAAAGGCGTCGTCGAAGAAGAACACGTCGTCGTCGTCTTCGAGTTCACGGATGATGGAATCGTCGTCGTCCACGTCGTCTTCGTCATCCACGTCTCAGCACGTCCTGCACCGACAGGTGTCTGAAATGACGACCACGTCATCCGAACTGCAAAACTCCCAGCTGCTCCAACAGCGGATACTCGTGGACAGCGGTAACGTTACCGCGGTTAACGAGGACGCCGACTGCTGCAACCCCGTCGACGGGGCGGACCCGCTGGTCACGTTTCCCGAGTCGCCTCCCGTTTTGGTGTCCAACGATTCGCCGCTCCTCCACGCGTCCACCACCCGCCCTAAACCGGTCCGCGTGGCCGTGCAGGACGGACGACTGAAACACCCGGCCGCGGCGACCACCGAGCGGCGCGTGTCCACATCGAAGCTGGTCCAAGAGGCGTACGAGTCGTCGTCGTCGTCGAGCAGCACCAGCAGCACGGTTTCCGATTCGCAGGAGGTGCTCCACCAGCACGGCGACGTCCGCAAGCTGCACGCGGCCAACGCTATCCGGGCCAGACTCGCTGGTACCATCGGGAGCACTATTGCCAACCGCGAAACCGAGACCGCTATGAGCAAACTCCAGGTACGGACGTGATGACGTGGTTATATTATATTATGGTCTCCGRGTAATTAATATAACGTTTATCCGACGAATTGTATGTCCTCTGCAGGAAGTGATAATACAATTAATATTTAGTGTATTTAAGTATATACTGATCCAGGATTCGCTCGGGGGTATATGTTGTATAGTTATATATATATATATACATAGGTTGAAGAAACCATCATCATAGACTTTTATACATATATTGGTATATATATTGGTTGGGGTGTGCAACCCTCAGATGTCCCGCAATATAGGTAATGAGCACATATAGTTATAAGGCATATATCGTGATTTATAGGTTTTTGAAGTTTCTTAATCGCATGGAATGTCTTTGATCTGCAAGACGTATGATTCGTGTGCATAGGTGAACTTGACAATCGTTTTTAATATTGCAGTCGATGAAAGTGAGTCATTGCAGGTACTCAATGAGGCGGAAGCACACTAATGTTCTATTTATAGAGTTCTCGTTTAAAATCATTTGTGCGATGGTTGTCACCCGTTATCAATGATCGTTTGATACGTCGATATCTGGCCGGAAAGAGAATGGAATTTTTTGAAACTCGTAATTCGGTTTTACGACAAAAGACGTGTTATTATGTACGTAATTTTGATGAGTGATTCACACACGTGTTCGAGTAGGATCACATTTTACCGAATTAGGTTTCTTTCACATACCGTTTGATTTTTGATTTTTTAAATGTGTATTGAAGWAACATTTTCTAGAGTTATTTATTCTGATTTCACAATAACCTTCGCGTATTTAATCCCAAATCTTGCAGCTTATAAAACCATTCTACATTAATTATAAGTTTAAAGGAAAAACAGTGATAACAGAACAGATAAGTCTTTTTCTTATTTATCAACACATTTAATATAAATTTCTGGTTTATCAAAATTTGTCGTTTGACGTAGATTAGTCTACAATTTTTAGTCACTGATGTAATGCGTTTTTAGAATTGAAAGAAATAATAAAATAGAGAATAGTTTATACGTATATATATGTAAAATTGCATGACTATGTAAAATATGGAATCTCGGTACGTGATTTAGATTTTAGATGGAAATTAACACATCAGGTACAATTCTCGTATTGTTAAGGTTGGTCAGTGTCTGAATACGAACGAGATCGCGCCGTACTATAGGAATTGGAAGTGTTTCGCAGCGGTAAATTTAATATTATTGTTTTCAGAGTAAATCAATGAATGCTATGGACAAGAACTATATTTTTTTCACTGAACCGACTTATATAATAGTCATCGGTGAGAAGTAACTTAAAAATGTGGATGTTTAAAATGTAACAACCCTGCAGGCGTATTTTACGTCTACGCATTATTACTTAGACACACAATTCGACGGATCACATATTATTATATTATGTCGTTTAGTATATCTGTACTAATACGACCCGAATTACCTTTACGAAACAAAAAATTGACGAAATACAAAGATTGATATATAGTGGGTATATGCCGCCTATCCGATCGCCATTAAACCACTTAAGCACCGCGGAAAATAAAATGTAACTATCGAACAATTTCATCAATCGCCCTTATGTTATGATTTCACGCGTCATAATATTATAAAAATAATATTACGTGGAACTTGATCACTTTCGGCGCCACTAACATGTAATTTAAATTTGGGTGTCGTTCTGTGGGGACAACCGTTGTGTCTCGGCTGATCGGCTGGTCGTGTGCACGTAAAATAAATATAACAAGATCGTTATTAATATTATTACAACACGCGAGTGATTTATAGCGCGTTTAGTCGTCAGTCTTATACCTGTACGCATGTATTATTATACCATAACCAATATTATAATAAAATAATAATAATAATACAAATACATATTATAATACATACAGACCGGTCAAAGACGACGCGTGGGTGTGTGTGTGTGAGAGAGAGAGAGACATACATAGAGTGAGAGATCGGCGACGGGAAACTGGTTTATTCTGTCAATTCACAGACTCGTGTGTCGCTATTAATTCTTTTTTACGCGTGCTTACTCGTTTTTTGTGATATTTCGTGTGTATATTCGTTCACGTGACAACCTTTTCTTCAATATCTCGATCTGCAGTTAGCTAACTACCGGTCGGTCTCACGTAATAGTTATTGCAGACGCCGTAAAAAAAAAAAAAACAAATAAACCTAAAGGAAAACAAAACGAAAAAGTCCCTCTTCTGCGTTTCCGATTATTGTATTATGCATTATTGTTTACTATTGTGCAAGTGTGGCGCGCCTTTAATTTTATGCGWCGGTATAATAATACGTCGGATATAATGCACGAGTACCGACGACGCGACGACGGAAATAATACATGATGGCGTCTCTCGGCCCGTGGTTTCCTCGACCTACGCGAAAAGCGCAGCCGCCGTCGGGACGGGGTTTCGTTTTGTTTCTCGTTTTACAGGTTGAGCATGACCTCCACCATCTGTTCGAAAAACAACACCCGAACACCGGACATTCACGTCGTACTTTCGTACATAAAACGGGCCAAAGACGCTACCACACGGTCCTAATATACGTATTTTCCGATGAACTCGAGTAGTTGTGAGTCATCTACTATGTAAAATGWAAACCATATGAGTATAATATAGAAATGACCTACTTATAACAAGACGACGCGTGAATTGCTGCACAGAAACAAATAATATGAWTTCCCCTTCATCACTTGTTCAAGACTTAGGAAAAGACACCAATCCCCGAGTACTTACATTTTACTGAACTTATAGATTAAGTTACGATTATAGTCGTTTTGCCAATAACCTGCAGTCGTAATGTGCTCATTATAGTGTGGTAATTAATTTTAATGGAAAAATCGTTTTAAATCAAAAACCAGCTGTAGCTATAAAACTGCAGTTTGGTAAAAAACAATGAGAATTATGTACCGCTTTAACTATAATACGATTTATTACATAGTACCTATACTACCTAATATATTTTAAATTATTTTTTCTTTATCAGATTAGCCGAGATATATGTTTTTTTCACACACCTGTCGCAGTTGGACAAACTACAGTGCGAGCTTTATAGATAGAAAACATTTTTGTTTTTTCATTGCACAATGCCTAGAATGTGGTAGACGTCAATGTATATACTTACGTGATTAAAAGCTGTATTTCTGTATGTAATAAATAATAATATAGCGACGATAATCACAAATGTGACACTAAACAGTATCAGTTTGAATTTTGGTTCATTTACACTAAAGTAAAGTTGACAACCTTAGAGAATAATGTAACATGCCAAATAATAAATATTGTGTACATGTATTACGTGTACATATTCATTTTCTAATCACATTTTTCARTTAAATATATTTTTACGCTTTCTGCYATATATATATTATACATTTGACTTTATTGTGAAAATGCACCACAGGTGTGATCTGTAGGCCGGTTAAAACCAACTACACATATGCTATATGCATATAACTAATGAAAATTACCTGAAAAATAAGCCACGAGATAGATTTGAACGTKAGATGCAAACATATTCGAAAGCCGCCTTTAAAAAGAGTTCGTCCTTGGTCGATTACCACCATATTTGCATATTCGTATTAAATTAATAATTATTGAAATAAAAAAACGAGAATAATTTACGGTCGTCGAATTAAAAAATACATTCCCATGATGAAATATTATGTTATTTTTCATAGGTTAGGTAACCTTACTTATGATTAATAATTACCTTTAAAACCATCGCRAACAATTTCCTAAACTGCAAAGAACTAAACATTTTATCACCGTAATAATGTTTAACAGTTTACGCTAGCTGTTACTGTCATCTCCTGTGGTTGATTTGTAGGGGATTTGTTCACCATTGGCCTTGTTTTTAACGGTAGACACTAATCCATGTAAATTACATTACGGTATTATTAGTACTAAATTTAAAAAAAAAAACACCTCTCAAAAATTATAAAATTATAAATTATATATTATAATTACTAATAACTATGAATAAAATTATGTATACTCTTCTAAAATAAATACATATTTCTTCTTATCGTTATTCAGCCGTTATAACTAGAAGGTATGATAAATTGATAAATAATATAATATTATAATATAATACTTTACACAAGTCTAATTTTTYCATTTACATATATTATAATTCATTATAGTATACTAGTAATATTTATATGTAAAAAAAACATCATTCATGATGAATATACATTATAATATTAAACTAATTCATGGGTTCTTCCCTAAAAATGTTTATAGTATTATACAATTAATATCTTATCATAACATTGCATGACAAAAACATTAAGTATTAATTTACATTTGTCATTTACGTAAAATTGTTATTTGACATGAATATGATATTTGATTTTTTCTGTCYGGCATAATGTTTGTTTAACACTTTTAATAATATTAGAAGTTGATTTTCTGATAAAAAGTTATGTGTACTCCGTATGCRGTTGAGGTGAGATATAATATACTTTATTAATTATTAATCATTGTGATTGCATTGTATTTCCATCTGTGTTGTACCTATAATATATATTATGTACGTGATGTATAGACTTATATTGCGAGTGATTGATTAAAATCTTACACAATTTATTACCTATATACTTCTTCTTCTTCTTCTTCTTCTTCTTCTTCTTCTTCTTCTCAACAGCTTAGCGGTCCATGTAGGTCCATCGCTGCCATCAGTTATATACTATATACACATATGATTTCAACTATATACGAGTCCTAAATCGATCATTTATTTTAACAATATTTAATAGGTGATACATTTTTTAAATTTGTTTTTTATCGTGATTGTCGATTTATAATCGTGTATACTCCATAAAAATGTTGGCTTTCATATATTATATATTAATTAAAATAAAATGTAAACGTCTATAATGATTAATATAGTAGGTATAGTATGGTGGAATGCACCGACTACATGTGTATTATTATTGTATAAACATCCATCAATAAAATACCTATATGCAATATGTATTTTATATATAGGTT